CCAATTTTTTGTTCTAAACGGTCTAAATTGTTATTAAAAATTTCAGTGTACACTTTTCGTTTTACATAACCCCAAAAATAAAAATCCATACTAGATAAATCCGGACTTCTTGGCGGCCATGGTTGCGGACCATATCTACCAATCCATTTTTTCCAAATAATGTATTTAAATAATTTCTAATTAAAATGGTCGAATGGGGGCCGCAACCATCTTATTAAAAATACAATTTATTGCGTTTTCCTAAATCCACGCCGTGAAGATAAATAATTAAATAATAGTATATTATTCAACAAGCGTATAATGGCGGCTGTTACCCACGAAGAAGAAGTTGCAACACGAGCGAGCGAAGCGAGCGAGTGTTGTAATCTGAGTGGGTAACATCCATTATACGCAAGTTGAATACTATACTTTATCTACAACTATTTAATTTTGAAAAAAAAATCAAAAAAACGAAAAAAAAATAAACTTGATAGACATTTCAGACATAACCTCAATATAAGAAAGCTGTCATTTCTGTTTAATTAATATTTTATTTTTTGATTAGTAGGCAGTGTCAGAAGTGTGGAATAATGGCCTCATTATTCAACACTTTGTCTGTCATGGGTAATGAGTGTCATTACCCGTCAAAAATCAATTGTATAACGAATAGATAATTCAATAGTTGTAGATAAACAATTTTGTAGTATTTCCAAATATCAGTGTTGATACAAATTGCCGTTTATGAAGTAAGGTCCAATAACACCGTCCCACGAAACAGCACATCACACATTCACTTTCTGGAAATACTGGCGTTTACAAGCTATGCGATAATGAGGATTAGTCTTCGACCAGAATCGATTATTTTGTGATGTAACCACTCCATTAGTGGTGAACGATGCTTCGCCCGATGTTTTTTAAAAAAATTCTGTTTTTCACAATTTTGTACCCAAGCCACAAACAATAATCTAAACGTTTTGCTTCATCACCTAATTCGATAGTGTGGTTAAATTTTGGTTTATACGGCAATATTTTATTTTCTCGATAAATTCTTTGTAAATGGGATTTACTTATATCGACTTGAACTTCCCTTTTTCTTAACGACACCTTACCGTAATCCATTACGTTCGTTATTGCAACAATCGACGCCGCATCATGTTCATCTAAACGCTTTTTTTTTTCTTCCTTTTATTTTCCACATTGCCGGTTTCCAAAAATATTTTAACAACTCTCTTAATTGTTTTTTATCTACTAAAAATCCAAATTTTTCCTCAAATTGTCTTAAAACTGCTTTGTAACTCTTGTTCCCTAATCCATAGCACTGCACTATAAATATTTTATATTGTAATGTAAACATGATCAATTAATATTTGACAATAGGCTAAAGCTAAGCTATCAAATGATAATTGTTAGTTCACTCAGATCATTTGTTTTTATTGTAAAACGGAATATTAGAAAAAGCTTTTTAAGAAAAAACTCATTTTTTCTTTTATATGCTAAATTAATAAAATCGGCATATCGCTATAATTTAACATAACAAATATTTTATCTTAATTAACTTTTGTTGTACATTGCTCAGAAAGACCACTTTACCTGCAACTGTTAACAAACTTCTTGCGTTAACTTTGGTACTTTGAGGATATTTGACATAAAACTTGGTTATATTTCGTTTTATGACATCCAGACTTTAATTGCAAAAGATGGAATTTGAATTCAAAAATTTATTGTCAATTCTACCTTACGGGGACACAATCCGGGGACACACTGTATATTTAAATAAAAGCAAGTTAAAGAAGTTTTTTCTAGTATATTTTTTAGTATATTTTTAATTAAAGCAAAATGTTGAAATTGTGTTAAACTCTAGATAAACCGAAAACATTGAAATGGATACTTTGCTTGGCGTTCTTCAAGCAGAAATTGGTAAAGTCACGAATATCTCTGTGAGACCATGAGAAAGAGATAAAGCGTATATTAGGACGAAGCGTTTTCCGGAAGTGAATTATACTGGTGTCATTTTATCAAATTACAGAAAGAAGTTAAAAACCTTATTAGAAGGAACAAGAAGGAACATATGGATAAAAAATTTCAGAATACTGATGGATGCCCGAGAAAGCAGTGGTGTATTATTAAGAATGCCCTGTCTATTGATATAGAAAATAAACGGATTCCTAAGATTATAAGCAGTAAGAGAGACGCAGTGGATGTTTTTCTAATGTTCTGAATGATCACTTCACTTTCAGTGTAGACAGTTTGCTTGCGGGAAAGCCGGCCGCCAATGTCAGCTTGGATTATGGAATACATTCCTCAATATATGTACATTAAACCTACAACTGGAGATGAAATTGAGCGTATAATTGATAATATAAAAAACAATGCAGCACCAGGCGATGACGGTATAAAACCAAATGCGGTGAAAGTACTGAAAGGAGTTTTGTCACCTATTCTATCAAGTATTGTCAATAGAAAAATAAAACTTGGTCAATTTCTCGATATCCTAAAGATAGGAAGAATAACTCCAGTGCATAAAAAGGCTCAACAACTCTTCCATAGAACTATAGATCAATATCTGTGCTGTCGGTCTTTGCCAAAATATTTGAATCAATTTTAAAAAGTAGACTACTGTCCCATTTGATTACGATTGGTTTCCAAACTTGTGAGCAGCATGGTTTCATAGGCGATAAGAGCACACAGACTGCAATTATATCGTTGTTGGAATTTGTTTATAGAAATCTCAATAAAAGTAAAATCGTTTTAGCTGTTTTCGTGGACTTGTGTAAGGCGTTTGATGTGGTTGACCATCTTATACTGCTTAGTAAGCTCGAAGCTTTGAGAGTTCAGGGACCATCACTGAAAGTTTTTAAAAATTATTTAAGAAATAGAAAGCAGTACACTGTTTACAATAATTCTACTAGCAGCAGGACTCATATAAAGCATGGATTACCGCAGGGATCTGTCCTCGGTCCTCTGCTTGTTTCAATATATATAAATGATATAACCAATTGTTATATCATCATGCGCATACTTGCCTTGTATGCGCATGATGCTGTTTTGTTCTACAACCGGACTATGGACTCTGTCCTTTCTGATGCTCAGTGTGATCTGGACAATGTTTGTTCTTGGATAGATGAAAATAATATTAAATTAAACAGCGATAAATATACATATATTATCTTTAACAAAAAGACCACTACGAAAAGTCATGAACTTATAATGGCATTAGGTTGAGTGAAGTTACAAATAGTACCTATTTGGGCATTGTCTTAGATAACAGATTAATGTTTGAATACCATACAAAGTTAATACAGAAGAACCTAAATGGTATGAGCTATCATCTAAAACGTAATGGTCAATATTTCAACAATGAAACGAGATTTTCTATTTATTATGCCTATGCCCACTCTTACTTAAATTATCTTTGCCGTTTTTGGGGTCACGCTCGTAAAAAAGATCTTGACAAGCTACAAGTAACACAAAATAAGTTTTTAAAGATTCTCTTTTCTAAACCACATAGCACAAATACTACATTATTGTATAATGAGTTAAAAGTGCTTAATGTACATAAGATGATTAAGCTTGATAGTGTGAAGCTAATATATAAAATCAAAAATAATCTAATGGAAACTGGCATTCACTTTAACCTCAACTGCGATATGCATACGTATAATACAAGAACTAACCAAAATATTTACACAACGGGTGAAGAATCCGAATGGTCTGGACTCCTTTGCGGGAGAAACAAGGACTTATTACCTTAATCTTAGGTTAAACTGATTTCGGAATGTTTTCTTTTTTGTTGCATATGTATAGTGTTTATATATCTGTTATAGACTCTTATGTTTTTTTGGGACTGAACAATTAATTAAAAAAAAATATATCGAAAGATAAATGTGAGCTTGAAAAGAACCCTGAAATTACTACGGCTGAAGCAATGGAATGGTTTGGGGCTAATAACCTGAAGGTAAATGTTGACAAGACGCAGAAACGTCTACTAACGACAAAACCTGAAGAACGGGAGCAAGAACCAATCTGATGATGTAATGCTAAATCTGAACTGGAACTCTCATGTTTAGTATCTTCAAAGATCTCTAGCTGTTGCGATTTTTACTATCAGACGTAATAGAACAATAGCTGGATATGAGACAGCTGGGTCTACGTAGTTTGGTAATATGGTATCTTAATTTAGGAGAACTCATCGACGGCGAAAGATATTTTCTTGCAACAAAAGACAGCAGTAATGGCTTTAACGGGTGAAAAAAATACCACAACTTGCAAGCTACTTTTTTTACAAAATAAAATATTTAACTTATCCTCTCTTATCCCATCACCACGCGTTATTCCATCGCACTTCTATATCTTGTAGTAAAAAGCAAGTGGGAAGGCCGCACTGATTTTGACAATCTATTAGTTTTCTGGTCACTTGCCCACTCTTTCGAAAGTACCCGACTATTCTTCTGCACCTTGTCATCGCTGTTTCTATGCCTTCTTCTCTGAATAAGGCATCATTAATGACCAGCTGCAAAATGTGAGATACACAACCTATAGAATCAAATAGCCCTATACACGTTGGTTGCATAACCCATCTTTGCTTTATTCCTAACGAATAGAAAGATTTTGTTGTTAATATTCCATTCGCACAATTCAAGTAAGCTTTTCTAAAAGGTACACGCCGATGTGGTCCGCTTCCAGTACAATAGGTCCCAAAACAAGTTTCAATCCCATTATGAAATGACTGGATTAGTCCGTATGTCGGTTGTGCAACTTGACCATTGGCGTTGTTCGAGAAAATTGTTCAACAAATTGTTCTGTTCTTAAATCCATAATCACCCATTGAGTTTTCTGATTGGTCTTCTTTATTCCCCAGTTCGGAATTAAAGTCACCTGCCAACAGCGTATATTGAGCACGCTGTCCTTATAGGGCCATATCAATATCATCATAGAATTGGTCAAGTTATTCTTCTTCCGAATTCATATATCATTTTACTTTTCAAATATTTATCAATTTAATTTGTCTTGTTTTGTTCAAGTTAAGAGAAAGAATTGTTATGCAAGAAATTGGCCAAGAAAATCTCACCGTAATGACACATATGGACGAGATGAGAAGGATTTTTTTCGGACGAAGACTTTACTTTTACACCCCTTTAGAACCGTACAGCTTAATAATCGCTTTACCAGAAAAATATGGTCTTCTACGCGTTCAATATACAAATCAAGCTTTAGAAAATGCTTGCGGTAACATCAGGGCATTATTAACATCGGGTGCTTTGACAATGACGGATTGGGTTGTTCATCCAGATTGGTACTAAAAATGATAACATAAAAGTAACGTACAGAAAAATTATTCTTTTAGGTTATATTTTAAAGATCAAAGTGATGATCCAGATTCCGCGAAAAGACTAACGAATTATATAGAAAATTGTGTTCATAGCAAACGTGGTAAATGTAAAAATGATGATTATTACGAGTTGCTTTGTACATTTTTACAAGATTTTGAAAATACCAAATGGTTTGCTACTAAAATACCAAATGCAGATCGAAAATTGGAGGAGAAATTTGGAAGTTTATATACTAATGTTACTGTGGCCTTTTTAGCCACTCACTCAGGTTTAACTAGATGGAAAAATATTGCTGCTAAAAATGAAGATGAAAAGTAAGTATTTTTGTTCTACTTAATATTATTAACTTGATTTGAAATTTATCTTTTAAATAATTGCAGCCATTTTTCAAAAACTCACAACAAAACCGTCGATGAAATGTGGTATAAAAGAACCGTCGAGGAAAATTACAACGATACCGATACAGATAGTTTCATATTCTCAACACCTTTAGATATCGAAGAATTTAATGACACCGAAATTTTGGTTACCGTTACGAATGCTATTTTTAAAAAAGGTCCCGTTGGAAAAGTTCCTGTTGCGGTTGTTGGTTATGAAATTATGTATCAGGGTTGGAAGGATTTATATGAAAATTTAAGAGTAACGCCATTATTTTATTATTGTTTTTTCCATATATCTTTTTATGAATCTATAAAAACAATTTCTAGTGTGGCGATTACCAAACCGATTTACCGAATCATCCGAACTGGACTTGTTTGGTTTTGGATAATCACGGCTACGCTTTGTATAGCCCAAACGATTCTTCTGTAGGACTATTAATTTTAGATATAAATAAAAATTTAACGCATCGATTAGAAGAAGACGGTGTTTTTGAAAGCGTTACCGTATTCGATTATCAAGGAATCTGTTTTCCACGGTTAAACTCCTCAAAATTATGCCCACCTTCGGTAACGTTGATAATCTGAATCAGCGTTTCTCAACTTCTTTTATACGAGGTCGGAGAAAATCTGTTAACAGACACCTGGCCTTGGATTTTGAGCGGCCAGATAGTGTGGGGTTAGGGACCCAATCCACTAAAAATGCCTTTCCTCGTCTTCCTCCTGAAATCACCCATTATTTCGGAGATTCCCAATATCCATCCATCATTTTCAAGGATCTCTTCTTGTGAGTCGCTCTGGATTGGGGAGCTCGATGTAAGCTCCCTACTCCTCTTCCTCTGCCTATCAGTCGCTGAAATGGTATGATCAAACACACAAGTTACTTTTTGAAGTGTAATTACATTTGTACCATACCTGACTTCCGCCTGTGGGGAGATATTGGGGAGCTCGCGCTGAGCTCCCCTATCTTTAGCTCTCAGCTACTAGGCTTGGAAGAAATTTCTTTCTTCTGTCTCCTTATTTTCCAGCACGTACCTTACATATTCTCCTATTAGGTTCCATTTGTCCCGGCTTGCCAACATTGCAGGTATTATGTTTTCTGGAGTAAGTGGCGTGTCAATATTCATGTTGGTCTCTTTCCTCTTCTCCGACCATCTTTCACATTTCAAAAGAATGTGCTCGACATCATCTGGCTCCTCACAATATAGGCATCTATCGCTTTCTGCTCTTGTATGTTTGAAGAGGTGAACCCTAAAACATCCGTGCCCACTAAGTAGCTGTGTCCGATAGTAATTAATTTCCCCCCATTTCCGTAACATCCACGGCTTGATGTCTGGCGGAATTCGTTTTGTCCATCTTGCCTTCCCGGTGTCCTCTCTCCATCTATTTCTCCATTCTGTATTCCTCTCTGCGCCTAGGCATCTCTTTCTAACTAACCCGTCTATTGATAGTGATAGTTAATTACAATCTGCCTTTGCAGCCTTGTCAGCTTTATTAGATGTCGGTTCGTCTGCAGGGCATCTCGCCAGCTTTTATAGACGTACAGCACTTGGCACTAAATTAACAGTATCAACCCTATCATTTTTCGTTTCTTCGCCCCCGGTCCATATGTGCTCATAGCTCTGTGGAGCGCTTTCACCGTTCTCTGTGCTTTTGAATAAATGTATTCTGTGTGGGTTCCCCACTTCAGATCCCTTCCAATCATAACCCCAAGGTACTTGAGTAAGCCTTCAGATTTCACCACATGTCCCGCCACATTGATTTCAATCTCTCCTCTGGTTTTCCTGTTTTTCAACATCACAGACTCCGTTTTCTCCGGTGCTGTCTGTATTCCAATAGACTCCAATTTGTCCCCAATTTGTCTGATAGTTCGCTGTGCCGTTTCAACAATACTATCCTTCTTGCAGCCAGTTATTACGATGGCCAAGTCGTCCGTGTACGCCAAGCGTTTCTCAACCTATGGCACGTGTACCTCTAGTAGTACGTGAAATGGTCTCAGGGAATACTACAGAAAAAATCATATTTTTTTTGAAATTTTAAAAGTCTCTCTCATTCTTATCTTTTTCAAACAGTTAAGAAATTACGGAATTTTATTTATCATGGGCCATTGATCATTAGAATTATTTTATCTTAAATATTTTAACAAAATAGATTTCAAATTTTTCGCCATTTTTAAACAAGTCATAGATATTTTCTTCAAATCGCAAAAATAATCGTAGTTTTTGTAACAATTTTGCAACGATGACGAAGACTTTGTTAAAAACATAATTTTTTCCGACGAAAAAACATTTACATTGAGTGGAGATAAAATTGACGGTATTGGGCTACCTAAAATCCAAATTAGCCAAGAAAACACACCCAATATCGGCAAAAGATTTGAGGAAATCTTAACTGGAAAAAGATGTTCAAATTTTTTTTTTGTCATTCCTTCCATCCCGATAATGTTGGAAGATGTTAGAAGGGAAAGTACAAATGTGAAGTGAGGCGATAATATGTGTATGCGAGAAAGTGTTAAGAGGAGGTGGAGGGTGTGGGAATGGAAGGAGGAGTAAGAAGAATGGGTGTTGATGGAATGAGGAAATACAAAAGAAAAGAAAGCAGTTGAGGTGTGTGAAGAGACAATATTAAAATAGGAGGACTATGGGACAGAGTGTGGATAGAATGAAACAACAGTAGATAGAGGCGAGGCAAGAGTATAAACCGGGAAAAGAAAATGAATAGAACGGTTGGGTGTGCGAGTAAAAATAAAGGATGGCAGAGGTACAAAGGCTGATTAGGGGCAATGTAGCACGATGCATTATTATTATTGCTGCCGATCTATTGTAACTTTAGCCCTCCAAACGTTTAGGGCAGATGTAGGTCCTTGATGAACCTTAGTATTGCCTCAGGGTCTTGTGCCTTTATATCGGTAGGTGTCAGAGCTCTACCGAAAATTTTGTGTCTGAGACGGCCTCTGGCGACGCAATTACACAGAGAATATGTTCAGCTGTTTCTCACTCGTCGTTGCAAAGTCGACAACTTTGATTCTCAGCTTGTTCAATATGGAAGCAATGCTATTTTAGGGGCGCATGGCCGTTCAGGTAACCTGAGAGTGTCCTTAGATCCCTTTTGCTGAGGCATAAAACCTTTTTGGTTTTATTTTGCGACGGAATTATCAAACTCTTCGCCTGTCTGTGACCTGTAAGTTCTTTCCAGCGTAAGGCTATCTTTGAAGCCTCCCAACTGTTGATAATTTCTTTTAGGTGGCTTTTTTGTAGTCCGTCTTCTCATTGCCCTCAATGTTGCTGTGACCTGGAACCCACCATAGGGTAACATCATTGCCCCTAGCGAGTTCTCTCAGGTTACTGGTACACTCTCTGATCAGAGCGGAGTCACACGTGTAGGCCTGAATTGCCTTTAAGGCGGCCCGACTGTCAGGATGCATGGATGAGAGATAGAGGTCGATGAACGGTGGAAAGAGTTGGGGAAAAGGAGTTGGATGAGTTTGTATCAGGGATAGGTGAAGAGAAGGCACTGGGATGCGATGGGATAAGGGGAATGAGTGGAGGGAAGTGATTGATGAATGCTTGAGGGAAAGGAGGTTTCCGGTTGAATGGAATAAGTTTAGAGTGGTATGGTTGCCGAAACCGCATGGTGGGCTAAACCAATATTCCTGGCTTCCGCTGCCTGAAAATTTTGCACAGAGTGATTCCTGATAGATTGTTGATGTATATGGAAAGAAAGGATGGGTTAGATGATGGTCAGTACTATGGTTCAAGCTGTTGGATGAGGCGATAGAGAAGGTGGAGAAAGGAAAGGCGTTGCATGTGAAAAACGCATTCGACGCGGTATGCAGTGTAACATGCAAAACAAGCAAGCAATGCCCACAGAGATCCAGCTTGGGGTCGGTGTTGTGGTTATGTGCAATGAATGAGTAATGATAGTGAGGAACGACCTCGTGCAGGCGCACGCCGATAACCAATCTTTCTCAAAGATCAAAACTTTATTAACTACGATATAGTCGTCGTTTACTACGTTATTGTTCCAACCCAGTTTGATGATAATTTGCGTCTACTTGTGTAGACGGAGAAGTGAGATAGCATTCGGATAAAGAGAAACAGGAAGTAGGACGAATTTGTACTTGCTCAGTACAAATTCCGTCGTATAAGATAAATGAGTTTGCTTTCTCGCATCTTCGCCTTGTTTGTCAAAAAATAAATTCGAATGAAACGATGATGCCTTCTAGGCTACAAGATCATTTACAAAAAATGCATAGAGATAAGAAAGATAAAAATGTTTTTCCAAAAAGCTAATTATATCAAAACATTATTAGTGACTTCTAAGCAAAACGATCACAGATTTCCAGTTTCGTACAATATGTCTCTGTTAATTGTTCAAAAAAGAAAACCCCATACTATTGGCGAAGAGATGCTTTTACCAGCAATAGAAGAAGTAATAACTACTATGTTTCATAAACCAGCGGCAAATATTATCGGAAGAATTCGGTCCCGAAGCAATGGTTCCGTATAAAGACCAATTAATTGATGGCTGAAATGAATTGGCTACCAAGAGGTACTTGTTTGTCTCGATTTTACAGTCTGTTTAACATAGCGATAGCGCTCTTAAAAAACATAGAATTGGAATACAACCTCATCTCATCAACGACACATCACAACACGACTTGAACATGATTAAAACAAAAAATGTCATTGCTGCTTTCGTAGCTAAACTGCTCTTACGTACGACAAAGAGATGAGGCAAAAGATATGCTTCAGGAATTGGCGGATGTATGCTCTAGGGTACGATTAAAAAATAACTTAATAAAAATTATCGAACGCATCGAAAACACCGATATCGATTGGTCAATAAATACATATATTTGAGACACGAAATACGAAATCCGGAGAAAATCAGTCTTGAAAGTTACACGGAAGGTTCAATTTATTGTGGGAACCTTATGGTAAGTTGAAACATGTTTAAAAGAGACCGTCCAGGTTATTAGAAAAGAAAAGTGTGGACAAAAAATAGATAGAATGGTGACCACGCACTGATGAGCGCAATAAAGGAAGATCACCTACAAGCTGCACCCAGGACTTGAAAAGAGTGGCTTGGATTCAGGAAGCTCATAACAGGGAAAGGTGAAAGACCATGAAGAGACCTATGTTCTGCAGTGAGTGGGTGTTGAATCCTTTTCAAATCTCAACACACCAGGAACAGAATGTTTGATAGCATTTTTAGCATCATATTTTTGTGATCGTGTGTTTAGTTAAGTAGACGTGGATAGTTTTGCAGTTTCTTGCGTTTTATTATATCTAGTGGCAGCTGACACTTGCCACAGACATTTGAGCATTATTAGCTTTCTGTTGTAAACATGCTGTACTCTTGTAAACTTCACAATCTTTGTAATTTCCACTGTGTCCTGTCTCATTGCATAATGCTCATGTTACTAAGCTATTACGTTAGGACACAGAAAGGCGAAGAGTATGATAACTGCGTCGCAAAAGAAAACCAAAAAGATTTTATGCCTTAGCAAAGGGGACGCTCTCAGATTTTGTGACCGGCCATACGCCCCTAAAATACCATTTATTAAACATTGGATAATCTGAGGATCAAACTTGTCAACTTTGCAACGACAAGTCAGAGACCGCTGATCATATTCTGTGAGAATGCTTCGTCAGAAGCCACCTAAGACACAAAATTTTCGGAAAAGTTTGCCTGACACCCACTGACATAAAGAAGCAAGACTTTGGAGCAATACTATGGTTCATCAAACCTATGGAGGCCTGAAGTTACAATAGATTTCATAGGTCAGGGTGACGTGAGGTGTCGCTTTCCTCAGCCTGGCAACAATAATTATAACACTTAACACATCTTTTTTCTTTGCTGCAAAATTTGTCACATGTAGATTGGTTTAGAGGGCATCCTAAAATTTCGTTGTTTCTATGCTCCTATACACTTCAAACACCTTTTTGTTACTTGATTCTGCAGTAGAAGATAGGTAAAAGATTACCGCAAGATATGCGAAAAAGTGCTCCTTTTGATCGACCCTAAAGTATGTTCCTAAGCTTAGTTGTCGATATTTGTCAAAACTTGACTTTTGCTCCTTAAAATGACTCAAATCATTCAATGTTACCATGTTTTGTTGTTCCTATCCAAATGATGTTAATTTGTTTTATAATTACAGTGGACGTTTTGAATTAGAAAGTTGAACCGATCTCTGGATATAGCTGAATAAACAAGCATACAGTGTGTTAATTAATTATCGTACCCGACGTCATCATTGCAGGTATGCAACCAATATCACAGTATTGGTATTGCAATATGCGATTTGTGTATTTGGTTGAATATTTGAATAGTTGAATATTTTTGAAATTATTTTACTGTTAGCGTTTTGTGTACACTTTTCGAAATGCATTAATACTCACTGAAAAAAGGCTGTGAAAAATATTTCTAGTGCGCATCTGTAATAAAATTAAATTTATTGAACTGAAAACAAATTTTTCACTTAAGGTAGAATTTGAATCATCATTATGGATGGATTTGAAAGAATATCCTGAACTATTCAATAAAGCATGCACCGTATTGGTGGAGATGAGTGTCTCGTCCTTCACTTAATTTAAAAATCCAGTAAAGTAAAAAAAGTTGAGAAACGCTGATCTAGATCAAAAAAGCTAGTTTTTAATTATAAAGTAGACTTTTAATATTCTATTTCATTATTTTAGGGATATAAAAAAAATTGTAGACAAACCAAACACCCACGAACTCTTAAATTCGAAAGCTTAATCATACCTAAAACGATTCCAACTCCTTGCGATAAAGAAATTAGACTTTATAGATACAAAGATAAAGATTATCAACATTTTCCAACCAGAAGCGAAATAATAGAAAATTGTTCATGGTAAATAAAAAAATGAAAGAAACGAAGCAAATTTTGTTGTGATAACCATTTTGTTTATTCTTACAGCCCATATGTTTCAAGAAACATTAAAAATACGAACTTGGTCTTGATTTTTTACAGTACAAATTGTTGCGAACCGAGAATTCGCATGGAACTGAATGAAACTTATCCTCAAGAAGTGCTTTATAAGCTATATGGTAATGTTACCAATATCGCCTTGCCTTGTTATATACAGCATTATAACAATTTTAATAAAAGAGCTTACATTAATAGTGTCCAAATACATTCAGAGGTTTGTTTAGATTGTTATATTGATAATGTTTAATATTTTATTTACTACTTGTACTAATATATTTTGCAGGAATACAGATCAAATTTAGACTGTGGACAAACCCATAAACAAGCCAAAGATGAGCTTTAATAAAATTTTGAGAACTTGTTAAAAATTGCAATCTATTAATTTATATATTTACTTTAAGACAATCTGAATTATATTGTATTGTTAAATAATATGTTTTATTAAAGGATAATAGGAAAAAATATTTTATTTGTTTATATTATTTTAAGAGCTAACAAGAGCTAAATTTTAATTCCTTTGTTTGATTTTATGGTCTTTTTGAATTAAATCTTTGATCAACATTTTCAAGAAGTCCAACAAAGAAATATTTTCATACCACATGGGATTCAAAACTGCAAAGTTGAGCAGGTGAAAGATGTCGTTTTATACCAATTTACAGTTTTCCTCACAGATTTTGTCGTACTCAAAAGCATATCCGTTTCATTACTTTACCCCATATTTATGCTGTAATCAATAACACATGTTGGTTTTGTTTCTACTCGCTTCTGCTACTTTTATGTCACTTCTATGCAAAGATGATAGCATGCAGACATTTTATTACAGAGAATTTCTTCTTTTTAAATGATGGCATTTAAAGAATTTCCCGTTCTATAACTTTTTTTATGAAAGCAGTATCAGACAATACCAATGCCAATCATTCTACCAACCCGATTTTTCCCGTCAACGTAAAAAAAAATAAGTTACAATGAAATTTTTGAAAATTGAGGGTATTTTAAAAGTGGTTCCTGTCGCAAACATACCGGCCAAGCTCTCAACTCGAATCGATTCCCGTCTGATGGTTAAGAAAAATGCATTTAACTCGAATCGTTTTCTGTCCCAAAAACGTTAAAGGGTGATGAAATTAATTGTTGCTTTGTGTATGATACAAAAGGAAGCACGTCACGTCTAGGCGTACATTTTCACACTTCAATCACCTAGTGGTGGTGTTCTGATAACAATGGAAGTGGTGATGAAACAACGCATCATATCCGCGTATCTTGAGGTATAACGTAACGGTTAGTGTAATCACAAGGAACATCTTCATTGCGAATCGATGAATATGACTAGCAGGTGTACGGTTTTCCCGAATGGTATCTGTGCCTCTCAAATTATTGTTGGATAACCCGAGATTGGATAGGGGGAAGGTAGAAAAGAAATATCGGTAGAATTTGTTCATTACTGTAAATGAAAATATATCTAATCCATCATAATTACAACATAGAGTATGTTAGAAGAGCTGAAAGCAATATCCAATCTGACCCAAAGATGTTTTGGGCTTTTACTAAGTCTAAGAAGCGTGCGGATGTCATTCCTTATACGATATCATGGAATGGAACTGTTGTCGGTGATGGTCTCGGAGTATATAATAATAATAAATGCTTTTATTAATAAGTTGTAAAAAAGAAAAAAAATAGAAAAATAGATTCTTAGAAAATAGACATATTTTCTGGACGAAGTTCAGTTTGGTTATCAACCAACTGCTCTGGTTTGACAGACGATTTCTAACAAAGGAGTAGTACAACACCCTTGGCAAGTTATTTTAAAAGATGGCCTGTTTAGTCAAGATTCCAAAATGGTATAACACTTGCTATTTTTCTTTTCCTAAAAAATCACCACTTCGAACCAGTTTCTGAAGAAAGTTGCAAATGGCATCCGAAACGTCAAACCTTTTCTTAAAAGACGCACGCCAAAACCCGAAAGTTTCTAGTGTTAGTTCTAGTTTTAGTTCTAATTTTAGTTTAAATGCAAAGAAATTTGCACAGCTAGTAAAAAGATCTTTTCTGTGACGATGCAGAGCTTGTATTAGTGCCGACGGCAAATAATTTGAGCATTTGCCTTAGTTTTAAGAAAGTAATGCTATAAAATTAATAATAAATAAATTTGTTTGTTTAATTGTGTCTTTAGATTAACCTTATCTGAAAGAGTCTTTTTGCAAGACATAAGAGCAACCATCTTGTTGAAACCACATTTTGTAGTTCGTAGATATTGACTGGCACATCTTCTAACAAAGTTAAGAGGAAATAAAAAGTAAATATAAATAACATACAAAAGTATGAATTTTTTAAATAACGTGTTTTTTGCAGAAAAACAGGCAATAATATTTTTTATGACAAGAAAAATAGCAAGTGTTGTACCATTTTGGAAACTTGGACCATTTTGGACCGATTTTTAACATTTTCAAAAGTATGTCTATTACCACTTAACTAAGAGACATGGATTTTTTTTCTCATTTTTACCAGAACAGTTATGGGTTGGCCTTTCGCCCGGTGCCCGCTTGGCGTTGAGTTTTGGGACACCTGTATATGAAACAAAAATGAAAATCTTTTTAATAATACCAATAAAACAAAATGAAAAAAAAACAAAATAACAAAATACGACGACATACTAGTATAAAGCGATGCATTAGTAGCTCAGAATATAAAAAAAATCATGATGACTTAAGCAGGAGGGAGGATTTTAACTTACTCTTGAACGAAATACAGCTCAATTCCAAAAGGTTCACTGTAGATCATTGTTCGTTTTGGCTATCTGGTAGGAAAAGGATTGGTGCGAGGCGCGGCGTGGTACCGTCAATACATCTTTCCTTTTTACATTAATATTATGGACATCGCTTCTGGAAGATAGGCGTTACAGCAAGTAAGGAGGCCGTTGACTTTTAATAATTTTTTGTAATTCGCTACGGTAATGGAAGCTATAACAGTACTCAAACGGGTGCTGTAATGAGACTCCTTACAGCATCCGATGCTGTAATGAGATTTTAGTAACAATTTATGAAACCAGTTCAAGTTGGTGACATTGGGTCATTAATTTTTCTAGTTGTCAATGTGACAATTTTTGTCTATGGATGTTTAAACACGTTCTTAGCATCGAATACAAAGTCCACAATGATGAGGACATTGACTCTGAGCAATTTCTCTTATTTTGGGAGGTGTACATCAAACATTTTTTTCAGGTGAATATATTTTGTGATTTGACAGTTTCTAATTGTCAATTCAAAGTTTCTATTTTCAAGTGTTCCAGTGTTACCAACTACTACATACCTATTTCCCTACATTGCCAATATTTACTTTATTTTTGTTAAAAAAAAGTATAAAAATGCGAATTACAAAAAATAGCATAAAAAACACGTTTCATAAGACTTAAAGCACTCATTCATTAAAAAACTCGTGGCTTCGCCACTCGTTTTTCAACTTGAATTCGTGCATTTCAAGCGTGTCTTACGAAACTTGTTTTTTAATATACTATTATAATAAAGGCAAGTTGCATGAAGTTTACGTCTGTTCTTCATGTTCAACCACCCAGTCTCTGCCAACGTATGACTAATATAGTCTATATAGTATCTACGAATTTCGTAAATAAACGTTAAACAACCGTTCTGGAGGTTCTGGATACACGCCCTCTCGCCCCCGTTAAATTTGGACCATAAACAACGTCGCAGTGATTTAATTTGCTTAGAACCAAGCTATTACACAGCATAATTTTTTATTTTTTATTTAAGACATACCTATGGGCATACAAGAGGCCACATGCTCCTCAAACATCAACTGCTGATCAAAAATTCTTCTAAAATTCAGATACACAGCTTCTGCTGAAAATTCAGCAGAAGCTGTGTATCATCTGAATACAAGTGAATCTGCGAATGCTCAAGAACTTGGTTAAAATCAGATGTATAAATAGAGAACAATAGTGGACCCCTGAGGGACTCCACGAGTAACAGACAGAACGCTCGATTATGATTATTAATCTCCACAACCTGAGACCTATCCAACAAAAATGACTTTATCAAAATTACAGCCTGATTTCCAAGACCAAAATAATGAAGTTTAGATGCAAGTATATTATGATTTATTGTATCAATGCTTTGGTGAAGTCCAACGATTACAAAAGTGCGGGTTGCCCGGCCTCTGTAGAAGCAAATAACACATCAGTAAAATTCAATAAAGCTGTTGCGCAGCTGAAACCTGAACGAAACCCAGATTGTTGATCTGGCAGTATATTATAACTTTCGCAGTGTGCTCTAAGTTGCCTCTCCAAGACTCTTTCTAAAATTTTTGATATTACTGGTAGGATACTGATCGGTCTAAAATCCCTTAGGGCAGAAGGGAAAGATACTTTACGTAACGCAATTACTCTAGCCATCTTCCAGGCATCCGGAAAAACTGATTAATGAATGGCAGCATTTATTACGTGAGTAATATAAGGAATGTGAAAAGGGGTACACAAGTCAATCATCCAGACTGAAATACCATCAGAACCCAGCGCTGCAGTTTTAATGTTATTAATTATTTTAGATACTTCATGTTCATCAACGGGCATAAAAGCTCGTTATCTGCACTCTAAGGTTTACATTGTTTTGATCAAATATGGGTAAGTCGGGATTAGTCTGAATATAAAGTGAAGAATCACCGTAAACAAAATAATTATTTAAATCAGTGGTGCCCAACCTTTTTTTGTACGCCGGCCACATTGGTTCCAGGTATATATTGCGCGGGCCAAAATCTATATCCTACTAGTACATGAGTTTGGAGTTGGGCAACCCTGATTTAAATCGTTTGGAAGAAAAATGTTAGGTACTTTGTTATCGATTTTTTTATTTATATTTAAAAGCTTAATCTTTCTCCAAAGAGCTTTTGGGTCTTTACTACGTAAGGCGTAATTATAGTATGCCTTCTTTTCAGTCCGCACCGTTGATGTTACCAGATTGCGATGTAACTTGTATAAAACCCAGTCTTGAGTTAGCTTAGAATTTTTTAAGCGCATCATCTCGAATAGACATTAGTAGTTTAGTATTATCTGTTAGCCAGGGACTGGGAGGCTTTGTAAACCGTCTAGTTTTTAAAGGCACATGCACATGTCGATGTTGCACATTTACAACATCGATACTAGTAAACAGCTGATCATTTGTTGTAAAAACTGAATCAAGTAAAGTTTGCGAATTTTATGTAATTCTTGTGGGTTCGGTGACTAACTGATGTAAGCCAATAGATGTCGCAAATGAGTGAAGAAGTGTTGTTGAGGGAAGATCAACATTAATATCGCCCACGATAATTGTCGAATGAGATGTAGCAATACTCTCACAAAGAGTACTCTCCAGTGTCTCGATAAAAGAGGAAGATTAAAATTAGGGGGCCTATAAACCACTCCAAAAGTAATACAGAGCTTTTTTTCTACATCAACGGTAAAAAATAATTACTCAATAAA